CCCATTGTGAGTGAGTGAAGGACTAGGGTTTTTCTTTTGTATAAACAGGAAAGTAAAACTTACATATCCATATGTTATAATTTCTATCAATATATTAGAACAACAGCTGATGGCTAATTAGAAAAGAAAAGAAGAAGAAAGAAAAAAAAAAACGATGTGGAAGAGCTTTTTTTATTTGGGCCATGCCAAGCAGCGTATTTGCTTCTGCTATCTCTAGTTATTAGTTTTATTAATTATAACCTTCAACTCTGCAGAAAGAAGGCGCTGGCTGTGACTGGAGGAGGTGGTGTAGAGCAGGCAATGGAATGGCTCTTAGCACACGCTGACGATCCAGGCATCAATGACCCCCCTGCAGAGGATGTAACAGGTGCCGCATCTGGGCACAGTCTTGGTCAGTTCAATGTAGTGTCAGTTATTCCTGTGATCATCTTGACAGAAAAGATGAAGCTGTTGACGTGAGATATAATTAACTTTTTCCCATGTTTCTAGGTTCTCAGGAGAGTAGTGAAAAGATGGAGACTACTGAAACACCAGAAAATAAGGAGACTAGTGATGCACCAGCAGATAAAAGTGAAGAGGCAGGAGAAGCTTCTGCAGATGGAGAAGCTGCTAAATCTATTAAATGTGATGAGTAAGGATTTTCATAACAATGCATGTAGAAAGGCCTTGCAAGAATATAGAATTAAAACTTGTTACCATGATGCTGACAATTATTTTACATCTAGTAGGCTACTGGAAACTTCAGTTAACTAGACACCTCTATATACAAGTATCCATATATAGTATAATGTAGTAAGATAAAACCATGTATGTAACAAAGAATGTCATATGTATTCTTTCAGCTTCAGCCTAAATTTTTACTTGTTCCAGCTGTGGTAAACTTTTCAAAACTTCTGAAGAAGTCGAGTTTCATGCTGTTAAATCTGGCCATTCCAATTTTTCGGAATCAACTGAGGAGAAGAAACCACTATCAGAGGAAGAGAGGGAGCAAAAGGTATCTCAAAAGTCGGATCTGTCAAGTGATCATAATGATTGTTTGTTTTATTTTTTTAGAATATTATTAGTGTTATTACTATTATTACTATTATTATTATTATATTTTATTTATTTATTTAATTTTTTGGTCAGTATGCTTTTTCCCCAAGTATGGAATAAAGTAATTTTATATTTAAACTCTTTTCTTTGATTTATATAAACCTCGAAATGGACAATTATTCTCATACTTTCATATCTTGCTTGATAATACTGTAAAGAGAGAATGCCTGAATAGTTTTAATATTAATCTTATGCTTTTCTACTTACAGGTGTAAATTTTATATATATTTTATGAATAGGAAGATTTGCAAGATAAGCATTTTTCAGAAAATCATTTGTCAATTAGTATCTTATTTTGTTCAGTATTGAGAGTACTCTATTTACAGAAAAGGGAACTAGCAGAAAAGATTAAGCAAAGGAGAAAGGAGAGAGAAGAGACAGAGGAGAAGGAAGCAAGAGAGCGAGAGAGAAAGAGGATCCAGATGGGACAAGAAATTGCAGAGCGAAAGCGCATGTATGTACTTCTTCCATTATGATGGAAGACTAAGCTTGGCTCATAATACATGTTTCAGAATTGTTGTCCCTGTATTTAGTTAAGAGTATATATCCACACTCACACAAGTGAAAACAAACTTTGCTGTAATTGAAATATATCATTATGTAACTGTAAGTTTTGATGGCTTGATTTTAGACATGAGGGCTTTGGGCCATAGAGACTCCTTTATGCATAAATTTATATCACTTTAGTAATGCAATGGTAGTAATCAGAATGACTATGCTGCTGAGCAAGGACCCAGCATAAGGGAAAAACAAGTCCAGAGATTGTATTTTTTCCTTTGTCTTTGACTGCACAAGTCAATAAATATCTTTCAATATAAGCATTCAGTCATGAGGATTTAGGAAACTTTGGAGAGCTTGGAATAAATCTTGTTGTCTGTATATTGAACAGAACAGCAGGGAACATCTATATGGGAATAGTCTAAGATATAAAGCATCATATTTGTGAGCAGCACAACTATTTAAGTTGGTTTAAGGTCTATTTCACATTTATTACATTATTTACGTTCATTTCCCATTATGCCAGTATGCAGGAGCAGGAAATGAAGCGCATTGCAGATGAGCGCAGGAGAGAAAAGCTAGAGGATAAAATTGCTCGGCAAAAGATTAAAGAGCAGATTGAAGCAGACAAGAAAGCAAGAAAGGAAATGTTTGCAAATAAGGAAGCACCTGCTCAGCCTCCACCCCCAAAGCCTCAGCCAGTAGCGCAGCCAGCACAGAAAAAGGAATACACGACAACAAGGTTGCAGGTACTGCTTAGTTATTAGTTTTGTTTGTCTGTCTGTCTGTCTGTCTCTCTCTGTGTCTCTGTCTCTGTCATCTCTCTGTCTCTGTCTCAGTCTGTCTGTGTGTCTCTCTCTCTCTCTCTCTCTCTCTCTCTCTCTCTCTCTCTCTCTCTCTCTCTCTCTCTCTCTCTCTCTCTCTCTCTCTCTCTCTCTCTCTCTGTCTCTCTCTCTCTCTCTCTCTCTCTCTCTCTCTGTCTCTCTCTCTCTCTGTCTCTGTCTCTCTCTCTGTCTCTGTCTCTCTCTCTCTCTCTCTCTCTCTCTCTCTCTCTCTGTCTCTCTCTCTCTCTCTCTCTCTCTCTCTCTCTCTCTCTCTCTCTCTCTCTCTCTCTCTCTCTCTCTCTCTCTCTCTCTCTCTCTCTCTCTTTCTCTCTTTCTCTCTTTCTCTCTTTCTCTCCCTATGTGTTTGGGTGCCTGCATACATGTGTGTATGTGTGTGCCTGGGTGGATTCCTGAATGGATGTGTGTATTTTTGTGTATATACAATTTTTTTTCTCTCTCTCGCTCTCTCTAGATCCGTCTGCCATCGGGGGCACCACTTGTCCAAGAATTTAAAGCCAAGGAAACACTGTCAGCTGTCCGTCTTTGGATCAGCCTCAATCGGAAGGACGGAGTACCCACAGATGAGCCTTTCAACCTTTCTATGTCATTCCCAAGGAAGAATTTCTCAGATGAAGATATGGATAAGCCTTTGGATGTTTTAGGTGAGGAGTTGTTTGCTATATTGGGTAACCTTTGAGATACAGCAGGTAGTTGCAGAAGTACAAGAATACTTGATTCAGGGTAAGAAATCTATATTTTAAAGCTATATTTTTATTCAGTTATCCAACTTCATTGGAATAGTAAATATTTTTGACAACTCCTTTTGACACATAATTTTTTTCGAATTAGCTTAGTTCCAATGTCTTCAGTGGGAATAGCAAATGCATTTCAGTGGTAGTAACCTTCTACTAAATTGGTGAATAAAATCATAAAAAATCTAATTACATATTACATCCCACACAGAGTACATTGTTAATCACAGTGGTGAATATATGAATTGGATATGATTGCATAATACATAGTTCAGTATCCATAGGTATTAGTAACAATAAAATATTCTGTAAATATCCAAATTTAAAGATTGTATAAATTATCACAAATGCATGTTTAGCCATACATATTAATCTCACCTTCCACACACTCATGATTTTAACATTACAAACCTTCACAAGACAAAGAAGTGTATAAGATAGGAAAAAAAGGTAAATAATTTGTTAGTCACTGTTCATGACCCTTCCAGCTTTGAAATTATTCTCAGTTGTTGTTTATCTCACGCTTCATGTCAGTCAGTAATAATTTGTATGAAATGATGGAAATAGTTTAGAGAGTTTTTGGTTTCTGCAGTGTCTTACATCCAATAAGATTGGCCTTGGGAGCTGAAATATTTCTCTTTTTAGAGAATTAAAACCACATGACCTTTTATTTTTCATTAATAAGATCTTTGTTTTATTTGATAATAATTTTCACTTATTTTAGGAATCACTTGAAAATGAAAATATACAGTTCTGACTTTCTCTTTACTTTCTTTTCAGGCCTGGTTCCATCAGCTGTACTAATGGTATCAAAGTAGACAGGTCATACAGTTTCCATATAGAAGCCAGGCTAACAGATGTACTCCATTGGTCATTTTCATTTTCAATGTAACCATCTGCTCAAGGTATCCTTAAGATTGCATGTCTTACGGTGCATTTTTGAGGATTTTCGCACACAAGTGATGATAGAATATGATGATAAATTCACAGGATAATCATATTTGCTATGTTTACACAACCAGTGTTTGAATAAAGATTTTAGTAAATGCACTTTACTTCTTTTGTTTTCCTTTAGCCATGCAAATACCTCATTCTTATTTAGAAACTAGCAACTCTCACACATTGTATATGAGACTAACATGTTAAAGTTTGATTTAAGACGAACTAAGACATTCTTAGATGTTGATGACACTGTAGATTACATTCATGAAAAATATTGATATTAATGGTATGATTGTTTTGCATAATATTTAGAAATATATTCTTTGTTGAACTTTAGTTTAAGTATACCTTCTTTTTTTTTTCTTTTTTCTTTTTTTACATTAGTCATGTAACATTTATTATGTGTAGATTATATTGTGCAACTGATAAACATTTGTAATACAATGAACATAGTATGTGATTTTACAGCTGGCTTTCAACATTCTTCATCAATTCTTTAATTACTTAGCACAGTCTTCTTGCTTTGTATTTGTCTGAACCAAGAAAATAAAGGATAAAAGAAATACTGATAGATAATGAAGAGTCAGTTGGCAGTAAAAGGAACAACTTAGATCATAAGGATATAGAAATCAGAGTCACATAACAGTGTCTTAGAAATATAAATTTACATATACTAAAGAATTACATAAATGGCTATTAAACTCTGTAATACAATCATATACCTCAACTAATTATCTATGAATTAAAAAGGAAGGTAACTGCTGACCATGTTCTATAGAATGATTAACAGTATTACATTGATATCATGGAATGGTCTCAGCAACAAAGCATGATGGTTGTCTCAGTGATGTTCAGGAGTAGTTTTTAATTATTTGATATATGCATGTGGTATTAAAGGATGAATTAAAAATCAGTATAGTAGTTACAGGTCCAACTTGAATACCATTAGCTTTCATGGTGTACTTTTTTTTAGTATTCACAGCTCGAAATTAATAAACAAGGAAGAGTTTCTGCCTTATAACTAGATAATAGATAGTAAATCAATTATATCATACTTTGTTAATTGTAGTACATGTCAAATAGCAAAGGTAGATGATAAACTGTAATTCAGGCATAAATAAAAGAAATGTCTCATAGTTTGTTCAAGAGCACTTTGATAGTGCATCTAGAGCATCTAATTTTGGATAGGAAAGGAAAGGAAAATTAGATGCTGATGAGACAATGGCATCTGTAAAGCATGTAAAATTATTTTGCTTAAAAGATTTATTTTCTAAGCTCTTCTATCCCTCAAGTGATTTTGTACATTCATAAAAAAGGCCTGATATATACAGTATCTTGGAAATAAGATCTAAAATAGCAAAAGTCTTTCCCAGTTAGAAGTGTTTCTCCTGTCAAACTGTTAAGTACTTCTATTAAGCCTGAACATTTTACAACACAAACAGCAGAATCACAAAGCATGTAGTCACTTCCAATAAGATGGTGCTAACATTCCACAACTACTGTACATGGATCTTCTGAATAGCAGGGTAACGATGTGATGTCTGTCGTCGCAACTGCAGGGCCACACTGGTTTCCATTAGTATCAACACAGTATGCTAGTAGACCTCTAGTTTGTAGGGGTTTGTATTCACCATTAGGACAGCACTTAGGCTTGTTTGACCCCAAGCCGTTTTCTTCCATTATGTAACGACGTCTTGCACAGTCTGCAGAAGGAAAAAATTTGCAATATAAGTGTACACTTTGTATTCTGGAAAAGAACCATCATCAGTATCAGATGCATTTGCACAAACACACGTGTACAGTATCATATTTTGTATTAATCCACTGTTGACATATAAATATATCTGCATACAGTACCATATCAAGTTGAATAATTATTCCAATCAAGATAACAAATCCTTTCCTCTGTATCTTCTAATCTCTTCCTTTTTTTTCACTGTACTCTTTCACATGTGAATGTTTTCTACTACATGGGCATTTCAGAAAAATGTATTAAGCTACCAATTGATTACTGAATGAATATTAAGTGTCCTTACTGCAACTGAGGCCATCTGACAGGTAAATTTCTTGTTTAAAATCTTCGATTTGCCTTCCAAGAAAATCTGAACAATATGCATAACCATCTTTGTACTGAACTGCAGCATAGTAGCCATCGTGAGTACACACTGGCCTAGCACTTTCTGAAACATACAGAACCAGAATTAGTACTGTGCTTGATAAAAAATAAAAATATTATGTCTGTATCTGCATAATTATCAGATATAAGAACATGTAAGTAACAAGACCAAATTTTTTTTTAATGAATTGAATATATATATATGTATGTATGTATGTATGTATGTATGTATGTATGTATGTATGTATGTATGTATGTATGTATGTATATATATGTATATATATATATATATATATATATATATATATATATATATATATATATATATATATATATATATATATATATGTATGTATGTATATGTGTATATATATATATATATTTATATATATATATATATATATA